CTTATCATAATCACAATAAAATTTAACAGAGGATTGGGTTGGGGGGTAACAAGACCTTATGTTCAACTGATTGCATCCTTGCATATTATTTCTTTAACTACTTTAACTACAGAGACTTTTCAGTATCTGGTGTAATCCACTACTAATTGTAATGCTGCCCATCCCTATCTCTCCCCAAAAACAGAAACCAACTCTTTGATTTTGTTCAAAAGGCCCCCCACCTCAACTAACAGCAGCGAATTTTTCAATAAAAAACACTCCCCCAACCTATCTTTTGTTTGCAATAAAGCCCCTAGCTTCCTTTGTAAGAGCCTCTTCCAGCCTGTTTTCTCCTTAACCCTGCTCGCGGTTTAATTGGCGGTCCAACTGTTGGCAGTAGCAAACTATCTCTTCCCATTCCAAGACCCCCAATGACAGAAAAAGGAGAAAAAAAGAAATGACTTTTAAGAAGTTTTCGTCGCAGATGCCAATTACAAGATCAAACTCGGGAGATCCAATATGAAGCTCTCGTCGCAATTAACTCCGTTGAAGTCGTTGCCGCATCCGTCCATCTTTAGAACGAAAATATTTCCGATTCGTTGAAGAGAAAGTGAGAAAACTACAGATAGCAGAGAAGCATGTCTAGCTTATATCCGACGACATGGATAATTGAACTAGTTGAAGATCAAACTTTTCCAGAGGAAAATTACTTTTTTCAGTTGAAAAGGAGATTAAACAAAGAATTAAACTACTAGATGAAAGAAATAAAGGAAATTAGAGGATCTAAGCTTAATGAAGTGGTGGGAAGAAGCTGATTTAAAGTTGAAGTTTTTCCCCTTTTTGGTTGGAGTAATTCATATCTCACATCGGTGGTTCTTTGGGAATAAGAGGTCAGGAGAGTATATAAAAGGGATGGGTTTCAACAATTGAAAATTAATTCGTTTTCGAGCTTCAAACGAGTTTGAATCGAGCTCAAAGTTGAGCTTGAATCGAGTTTCAATCGAGTTTGAGTCTCGAGCTTCGGTTGAGTTTTTAATTTTTTTTTTAGTTCCAGTCTTTTTTAGTTCGAGTTGAGTTTCAATTTTATCTTTCGAGTTTGAGTCGAACTTAAAAATTTTAGGCTCACGATTTTTATAATCGAATCGAACTTACATTTAAAATTTTCAAATTTGAGTCGAGTTTGAGAATATTCCTCAACTCGATTCATTTACAACCCCACACATTACCCTTCAAATAGAACGATTCATGATTAAATATGGAGGTGCTTAATAGTACGCTTTTTTTAGTATGATACGATTTCTCAAATCATAAGATATTTTAAAATTTTAATAAATATTATTTTATCTATACAAACAGGCCTAGATAGGGATAGAACTAGGGGTAGACAGGGACAATTATTTTCTTAAAAATTTAAAATATATAATAATTTTATTTTTTTATATATTTTCTAGTGAAAAATTATTTTCGTTACTCTTAAAATTATACAAAATTTACTATTTTTAAATTTTAAAAGTTTATTTTATAACAAAAAATTTTGTTTTAGTCAAAAAAAATACTCCTTAGATTAAAATAGATGCAGTGTCCTTTTTTCACCTTTACTAATGAAATAAGAAAATCACTCCAATGTACTTGATATTGATCATCGTAATATATATATATATATATATACACACATATATATAATTTGTTTAAATAATTCACTTTCACTCTGACTTATTTATTTAAGGGTAAATTATGTATTTAGTACTTAAAATATTAGTTTTGATTCGTTTTAGTACTTAAACTTTTAATTTTTTCAAAACCATACCTGTAATTTAGTTTTTGTTTCATTTTAATACACTGTTCAAAATTTAACGTTAAATTTTGGAAAAAAAAGTTAAAGTTTAGGTACTAAAATATATCAAAAAAATTTCGATGTTAACTTTTAGATGTCTAAAGAATTTTTTCTTAAGAATAGATGGCTAACGTTTTCGATGTTATACTTTCAGATGTCTAGGTCGTAACGACTATTAAATCCAATCTTTATCTGACATGTGTCACATTTATATATTTTTTAAAAAATTTTATTTTTTAAAAATTAAAATATCATTTAAAAACATTTTTAAGAAAAAAATCTACCTTGGCCTGTGCAACCCCTTGCTATTTTCCTCTTTCCCCAATTATATTCAGAATCCCCTCCCTCGTCTCCATAAGTCCCTAAAGTTAACTTAAGTGAGAATGATAAATTTGGAATTAGAGTAAAAGATTTAAGTATTAGATTTAGAGATTTAAATTTGGATTTATGGATATAGGGGCATCGGGACGATAACGAGAGAGTTGATTGATAGTAGAGGTCCGACGATGGTAGAGTGTCCATTCGACGATGACGAAGTCGGTTATTGATAGCGGATAACAATGGGTAATAAGGTTGAAATGAGATATTTTAAGGTTGTAAGGTTTTTTATTTTAGAAAAATGTTTTTTAATTAATAATAATAATAATATTAATAAATTTAATAAATATAAATATGAATTGTGTCATTTAATAATTTTTTAATGATTATGACAGCCTATGTGCCTAAAAGTATAACATAAAAAACGTTAGACATTTATTCTTAGATAAAAAATTTAGGCACATAAAATTAACTTAGTGCATAGTTTGTACTCTTAGTTATGTATTAAGAAAAAAACCTTAAAGTTTTTTTTTGACTGTCCTTACTTTGTATACCCTTAAAAGTTTAACAGATAAATATGACATCTAAAAGTATAACATCAAAAATGTTAAACACATTTTTCTAACAAAAATTTTTTAAACACTTAAAGTTAACTTATAATATAATTTAGACAATTGTTTTTACATTAAGCCTAACTAATATAATTCTAGTTAATTACTGTTTATCAAATAAAAAACCTTTATAAGCTTTGATCTAGATCGTATATCTATCTCCTTATATAACTATATGCATTAGAAGATTTGTTAAGAGAAACTTATTTGGTAAATAATGTAAAGATGATGTGCGTTGGGAAATAAAGTATTCAGAGATCTCTTTGCACTGTTGGCAACAGACAGTGATAAAAAGTAGGAACCAATTAGTCAACGTATCTGTGCTTACAATTACATATATTTAATTGCGTAAATAAGACACTTAAAAAAGGTAAATTATGCATTTAATACTTAATTTATTAGTTAGTATCTGTTTCAGTACTTAAACTTTCAATTATTTCAAAATCATACTTGTAGTTTTTGTTTCATTTTAATATCCCGTCATTAAAAACTTAACGCGTTTAGTATCTAAACTTCAATTTTTTCAAAAGTTAACGTTGAACAGATGTACTAAAATGAAACCAAAAACTAAACTATAGGTATGAATTTAAAAAAAATTAAAAGCTTAGATACTAAAACAGGCTAATACTAATAGTTTATGTACTAAACGCATTGTTATCCTAAAAAATAGCAACCGCCTTGTTTATATTAATTTCCGAAATGGTATTTATTTCCTTTTCAACCCCTATACTTGCATCCAATTATTTTACATGGAATATGGATGGCAAACAGGTACAATTTCATGGATTCCGCACTGTACTCGCTCCAATTGGGGCGGGGATGAGTATAAATTTAGTGGGTAGTGGGCGGGTGTGGATTTAAAAAGTGGTACCCGTCGCGGGTAGTGGGTGGGTGATGGGTTTGAAACCCTACCCGCCCCGCATCCGCCCGCCTCACATCCACCCGCCCACTAAATACCCATTAATTTTTGGACCATTATGAATTTAGGTATAATTTTAGAGATTAATTTATAAATCTTAATATTGTATAAGATATATGTTGTCAAGCGGGTCTAGCCGGGTACGTCTCCAGTTGGGTAGTTGGTGTGGGGATGAATTTGAAAATGCACCCGTGTGGGCGGATGTGGATTTGAAAATTTTTACCCATCATGAGTGATGGGCGGGTGGTGGATTTGAAAATATTAGGTGGGTAATAGGATGGGAAGGAGATATCCACACCCGACCCACCCGCTTACCATCCCTAAATAAAATTAGTTATAGCTCTTAAGTCAAGCCAAGACCACTGTCCGGATTAAACAAATTCATATATTCCTTGTTTTAATGCATATATATATATATATAATCTCCAACCCCCCTGTCTGGCATAACATGCAAATGAATTATTGATTGGAATGATAATATTTCTAAATGAGGGAAACATATGCACTCAAAATATTGTTTTTTAAAAAACTCATTTTGATTTGTTAATTTTTATCTTCATCAGTACAAAACCGGCTAAACTAACCTAATTTGGAGGAGAATGAAGCTAGGTTTTTCAAATAACATTCCTTTCAACAATATATGTTATTTAGTACTATTATTCTTTCTCTATCGTCCAATGTGAGGTGAATTGTGATGGAGGGTTTTTTCCCCATGAATTATGGCAAGAATTTAAAAGTTTGATGTCCCAACGTTGATGGGCTTGGAGGAATAATGCTTGAAAGCATGTGTTTTTATGTAGAATACAATGCAAATGAGCAGAATATAGGTTTTATAGAAAGGGAATTTAGCACCAACAGGGTGCAGCAGTAGCTAAACTTAGGGTCCAAGGGGAAAGGGTTGTTGTATTCACTTCACTTAGGGGTCCCTAATAAGGGAAATCTTACAACACCATCTGATCTATCTCTGTGTATTTTGTTTTGCCCACCGTTCTATATGTGACGCCTCCAACAGTTTTCTAAAGGAGCTGATACTCAATTAAGCCTAGTCTAGTGTCAATAACTACTGTTAATGGTGGAAATGTTAATTTTTCCAACAAAATATCCAGTAAATATGAGGCTAATGAGAGAATGCAGTTTGACGATGAAGCAAAAATATTGAGATGGAAAGTTGTATTAGATAGGTAAGAGTTAGAAACCGTGCTTGTCATTTTGACTTGTAAGTAAAAATGTCGCTTTTTATTTATTAATTTATTTTGCAGTTCGCAAATGTTGGTTAATAAAAGGCAGCGATCCATCAAGGTTTGATTTCTCACTCACTCACAAGTCCCAAATAGAAGAGATGGGGCGAGCTCCTTGCTGTGACAAAGCAAACGTGAAGAAAGGACCATGGTCTCCTGAAGAAGACTCAAAGCTCAAGGATTACATTGAGAAATATGGAATTGGTGGGAATTGGATTGCTCTCCCTCACAAAGCTGGTATATATCTACCACATGAAGAAGAAGAAGAAGAAGAAGTTCTCTCTTTACTTACCTAATCAATTAATTTCTCTGAAATATCAGGTCTCAAAAGATGTGGCAAGAGCTGCAGATTGAGGTGGCTTAACTATCTCAGGCCCAACATTAAACATGGCGAGTTCACTGATGATGAAGATAGGATTATCTGCACCCTCTTCGCTACCATTGGAAGCAGGTTTTTCTCCTTTTTTTTATTTAATCCGTTGGAGTATTGATGAAATCTCACAACAAGGGAAATAAAAGAAAACCCTTAAACTTGAGGAACTTGTTTACATCAGGCATCTGATACTTTCTGATAATTCTCAACATGCGTATACCAAGTTTAGTTTATTCAACATCATCGCCTACAGCTATTAAGAAAGTTATTCAAGGATTTTACTTGTTATGGAACGTTTTCTTTTCCAACATAATGTTTGCAGATGGTCAATAATTGCTGCTCAGTTACCAGGCAGGACTGACAATGATATCAAGAACTACTGGAACACCAAACTTAAGAAGAAGCTCATGGTCAAGACTAGTACTCGTCATTCACCTCCATTCCCAACTTCTCATCAAGCTCCACCACCAGCTTCATCACTCTGCACTTCTTATTACACTCCAATCTGCACATCTTTGTCACCCCTTGAACCCGTTTCATCGTTCCAACCTGCTGTTTTGAACAATGATCACACTACCTTGGCTACCAATTCCTCTCTAATTCAAACCCCAGAGAACTTGGTGAATCATATGATGCAGTGTTACCAAATGAAACAAAATTTCCTCACGTTTGGGAGTGAACCAAGCTGCACTTGTTCTGATGGCAGAGAGATGAAGCAAGAATATATGAGCTTTCAGGGTTTGGGAGCCTATAATGGCCATGGGTATGAAGATGATCAAAGATTCATGTTAAATTATGGCACCAGCAATGGAGGTGAAAATGTTAACCAATGGATTGAGAAACCAAGTGGAAACTATGGAGAATGCCCATTAGATTATAATCTGGAAGATATTAAGCGGCTGATTAGCTCTAGCGGGTGTGACAACAGCAGCTTCAGCTTGGTTGATGAAAACAACACACAAGATAAAGTCATGTACTACTACTGATGGAACTGATTGCAGAAAGATTTGACGGGGTAAGGCCCAAAGCTGAGGGATAAAAAGACTTTGAGTTTCTGGGTTACTGTGTTATGAATCAGATGAAATGAAACATATATATATTATTTCTGTGTTTTGACAGTATCTGCTCCTGTAAAGTCCCTTTTCATGTTCTTCGTTTCTTTTTGGGAAATGATAATGTTATTGTTTGTACGGACCTTCACTTGCAATCATAAATCAGTGTTTTTATGAAAATAAGACATGTGATCATCATTATGAACAACAATCAATCGTTATGTCAAGATAAACCAACTTCATCAATTTTGAAAAACAACTGGACAGTCATGACTGGGATTTCTTTTTTAAAAAATGGGGTTTCGAAACAACTCGAAAAACCAATTATAGCCCTAAGAACGAAGGGCAGAAACTCCTTTTTTTTTTTTAGTCTCCGTCTGCTGCTACTGTTTATCAATTATTGAAAGATTTTCAAAGTCGTTAACTCTATGCCTATGTGTTCGTCTTGATAACAATAAAAAAACTGCAAAATGTTTTTTTTTAAGTTGGTAGTTCAATCACCATTTGAGATCTAAGTATGAATACTTATTGATTCGTAGTAAGTAACATATATTGTATTTTTTTTTATTTGAAACCCTAAATTTGTAAGAAAATATACCTATATATAGTAGTTTGAACCAAACTTACATCTTTGTTTCCTTTGTAAACATATATACCTACGTATATTGTATTTTTCTTTTGTTCACTACCCTATCTGTTCACTTACCTACTCAAACTAATTAATAATTTAGCATGCAACTTGGCTACATATAAACATGTATTAATATTAATTATATATAGGTATATAATTTGCTAAATTCGGTCATTCTTTCTCTCTTTTTGGTTAATAAGACAGACAACACTATACTTAGCTAGCCATTACTTATATGAAGATGCATTAATTTTTTCCATGAATATATAACTTGTCAGTGGCTGACAGGCTAAGTTAAATATATATATATATATTTAATCGTAAGCTTTTGGAGTTGGCATAAAAACTTTCATGTGAGCTTCACTGTCTTGTTTATTATCCTAACACTAATCTTTATACATTGTTATATGGGAAATTGTTACGTCTGAAATCAAGAAAGAATGAAGTTTTTATATATGTTTTGACATTGTAGTTTATGGAGGGAATCCACATTGTTGAATGGGAAGCACTCCTCCAAATTTGCGTGATCCCAACATCTCAGTCAGTCTTGAGATCCAGGCCAGCTGCCTTGTTTTGTAATGACCCCATTACATTACAATAATACACACTTCCCAATCTCAATCTTCTAAGAAAAGCTGGCATAACATATTTTTCTTATGCTTCTCAACATAGGCTGATGGGATGGATAACATTCATCTACATAGTATTAAATTGTAGCCGCAACAAGTCGTTATGATTTTTAAGATCACCCAGACACCGTAAACCATATCTGCTGCATAGAAACATAGTTATTTTTAAGAAATAAATCATGTCATAATATTTGCAACATCCACAACAGCAATATCGTAATTTAATACCATGATAGTAGTAGACTGTGTAGTAGGCTAAAATGGGTATTTCCGATGAATATGAAAATTCTATTGCAGTAAAACAAAATAATTACACAATTCATGACCACACAAAACTCCACCCCAGACCACTATTCCAAATCCCAACCTATACAATTCTGCTCACTAATAGCCCCCCACCCTATTGTAAATCTTACTCTTCAACTTGCAAGCGACAACCTCTTTAATACGAGCGAAAACTTTAGCAGGAGAATTTTCCAGATTCTTGAACAACCTCCCATTCCTTTCACGCCAAATTGATGCAATAGAGCTGTTCAAAGCCAACTTTAAAACCATCGACACAAGGGATCTCCTCCGCAAAGCCCCATTCACCCACGCAAGCTCCGACCCCCAGCTCATCACCCCCTACTCAGCTGACATAACTGGAAAAAAAATTAGCTGACCCTATTCCCATATGTAATGGAGTAAGGGGGAGGTAGGATAGTAGGTTGCCCCCTACGCTAGGTTGAGAGCAACTTCCATGGAAAACCTCCGGCAATTATGAATTGCCCACCGTGGGAGTCGATCCCACGGCCACAAGGTTAAGAGCCTACATTTGGTGGGAAGCTTATCAAACACAACCAACCACAAAATAAGTGAGTTCCTAGGAATATGCCTTCGGACTCAATTCTCCACACACGACCAACTGAGGAGAAAGTCCCACCTAGTACCTCCCCAATAGCCGCAACACGCTCCCGAACACGCAACAAACTACACCAAGTCCAACTACAATTCTGGGGCACAATAACCTGCCAAAAGGAACGACCCCTAAGCACGTAGGACCACACCCAAACAATCTAAATAGAGCCTTCCTTCAATAACAACTTCCTCACCAAATAACAAGGCTAGCTCGAATCCAACTAAAGAGGTCCTTAATGTAACACACATAGTCCATATATATCTCGTAATACGAGCCAGAAATGTAACATCAACTCAACTAATATTTGGTGAATTTAAATGCTTAAAATTTTTGTTTCATTTAATAATTTTCTTTTTAATTTTAAAAAGTTTTTTCCTTAATCATATAAATTTATAAAATATTGTTTGATCATTGAAAACTAATTTGATTTCAGTCAGTAATTAGGTAGTTCAGTGTTGTTTCATATCAAAATACAACTGTAATGCTTGATTTTAAACCATTTCAAATATAATATTTATACTATTCACTCATAAATACGATTAATATTAAAATTAGACAAAACTAAAGAAAATAACCCTAAGTACTATTACAAACCCTTTTAAAATAAATCTAATAATGCAACCTAGCAGATATAATATACATGCCACTAATAAGTCAAAGTTAGGATGTCTTAATGATACTGACGGTAGGTTTGATTTTGCATAAGATGCTGGCAAGGTCCTCACTTCACGACCTCTATTTTATTCGAACCTACGCATGAAAATCATCACGCGCTAAGTAAAACTTAGTGAGACAGAAATATAACTAAAGTGATATAAAACCATAAATTTCATAAAATATAAGAAATAAACTGTAATTTAAATAAAAGCATTAAACTTCCAACCAGGTTACTCAAGTCGTTTTTCCTTCTGAAAATCATCATCTCATGATTTTATCAAAAATCATGTAAGTCATCATCAAATATCATAAATAACTTTTGTATTTTCATTCGAACATATGTCCTAACTTCTTTTCTATTCTATGTTCTTTTCTTTTATATACTGTCATAACTTTCACACTTACTGTTATAGCCCAATGTATATGTAAGAGAATACAAGGTACGTGAGTTTAAGGTGCACACTAGGAACAACATGGTGCTGAATCACAACTGAAACTGTGATATGAAGCACTTCAGTGAAATCATAACCTGAGCACCAATGGTGTGCAACATACAATGGACTTATACGTATCATCATAGAATCATTTATTAATTTGTGTTTGATAACTGTAAAATATCTAATATCTGTAAATATCTGATAATTGAAAATCATCTGATAACTGTAAACATTTATAATTCATCATCATAAATATCATAATTGGGTAGTTCATACCCAAAATCATTCATAGAACTTGATGAAATTTTTTATAGAAATATTCCATACTGAAAATTTGTAAATCATACTGAAAAACAAAATGAGATTAACTTATCACAGGTTGTCATCGGCTATAATAATCAAATAAACAAATTGTACTCACTTTAACACTTTATTTATTTAATCAAAATATAAGCCTCACTAAGCTTTAGATTTAAATCTTTTACCTTCCACTACTTTTCAATACACAATTTATCAAAATTCCATATTTTGACAGTTTTCACTACCTTCAAAAAAAATATTAATCTGTATTAATTTATATACTAAAAATTATTTTGTCTGCACCAATGAAAACTAGACTCGAATACGAATCTAACCATATAAGGCAATCTGTCTAGTTTCACTTGTACAATTTATAACGAATTTTCAAATTTAACTGACAAAAGTTGTTTCGGGCAGAATCTGCTACCTTGTTTTCTGACCTATCACCTATTAAAAATTCATATCTTTTTGTATACCCATCGAAATCAATTTTTGTTTGTTCTAAACAAAACTAGACTGATATATGAATCCAATGATATAAATATTCATTTTTCAATTATGTTTTTATAATTTCTGGTGATTTTTAAACTTTCTGTTCAGAACATAATGTCTAAGCAGATTTCACCAACTTGCATCCTTAACTTATTCACTAAATCTATAAGCTTACCAATTGAAAATATAGGCTTGAAGTACACTTCTCATGCACTAGGAGTCACTTCTTAACGTAACTCCGACACTGGCTCATCGCAAGCCAATGATTGTTTTGATAACATAAATACAAGTTAAATGCACTTACTTGGTCTCCTTAGCTTGCAATCTTCCTTAGAATTTCCCATTTCATCCTTAAACTTCTCCTTAGCTTTAATAATATTTGATCTTGATTTCAAGCACTCAATCTAAATGAACATCATTACCAAACATATACAAATTCAAACCAATGTTAGAATCTTACTAACATAGGCATACATTGGAAAATAAATTCCTAACAAATTTTCCGATGCTCATTCTATATAATTTCCATATCACAACATAAATGTTGACCTTAATACTTCTAATTGGCCACTCAAGTTCCTTTTTATCCCAACTTCACATAACATTTTCACTTAAGCTCCCAACCTTTCCATATTTGTGATTTAAACTTCAACTTTTACAAGTTTTCCAAAATAATCCAATTTCACATCCTAACTTCAATTTCAGCACTCAAACATTAATTTCCAGCACAGTACATCAACTATTGAATAATTACACAATAATCCAAAACTTTTCCAAAATTATAGATTTAGTCCCCAACTTTATAAAAAATTATAGAATGGTCCCTAAAATTTTCTAAGGCTTGTAGAATATTTCCTAAATCATTTCCAACTGCTACATACTTTTCCCATAATTTTTCTCATCCTCTATAGTCAAGGTCAAATGCTTTGTATGTTCAAAATTAGGGTTTTCATAATTTTACTCTTTTTTTTATTCGATTCAAGCATGAAATCAACTTTGATTCAACCTTATAAAATCTCTACAATCAAAGCTCCAACTTAATTTCATCAAAACACATATTTCCCCTAAGGCTAGGTTTGGCCGAAACTTTATTTGTTCATATAACCATGTACAAGTATTTTAATCATCAATCATACTTGGAAATGATTCTACAACCTCCAAAACGTCAAAATCCTTCATCAATTCCATAAACCCTAATGTGAACATAAACCCTAAAATTTGAGATCTTTAAACACAAACCAATTAGCAAGCAATAATAGTACCAAATTATAGCGTTTTTCAAATAGAACAATTTTCTATTTTACGGTATGATCCAAAAACCAAAGGAAATTGTTCAAAAATGGAAAATAAAATTTCTCTTACCTTGGTATGAAGGAGCACGAAATGTTGGCTGAAAAATGGCTTGGTTTCATGAAATTTTGGTTAATTTCATGTTAATTTAGCCTTTATTTAAGCTTAAATGAATAAAATATTCATTTAATGAGAAATATCCATTTTACCCTTAATGAAACTTGATATTTACCTTAATACCAAGCCACATAAACCTTATCATCTTCCAAAGTCAAAGATGGACAAAATATTTTGCCTTTTACAACTTTGCCCATGCAATTTTCCAAAAATTTTAATCTTGCCATTTTTCATCTAACAGTCCAAATTGAACATGAAAATAAATTTTCAAATCCAATGCTCCATATTATTTTCCATCATTATAAATTTTGGAAATAATATTTTTAATCATAATTTATCATCCTTCAAATTTTCTAAAAATTTCTATTCGATCCGATTTATTGAATTTTTACCATACTTTAACACTTTCTAGTTTTTAACACAATTTCCAAATCAAGAATCTGATTTCAATAAAACCCCACTTTCAAGAGTAAACTATCCATTTATGGAATAAAAATTCTTTTTGGTAAAATTATCAATTAGGTCCATTAATTTTTCCCAATTTTCTAGTCACGAAATTTTCAAAAATTGAATTTTAGTCACTAAAATTCCATTGTTTGGTCAAATCTGAAAATTACATTGTTCTGAGCAAAATTTCTCTGATCTAAAATATGAAAATTATATTTCCAACCATTTTCTAACATCCTTCAAATTTCATAAAATTCTGGTTCGATCCGATTTCAATACCTAACTTTATCACTTTATAGCTTCTAGCACAAATCATGTATTGAAAATCAGATTCCAAAAAAAATCCTTATTTTAGGCCAAGCTATTCATTTACGAGCTAAAATCTATAACTTTTTAAAATTACATTTTTGGTCCCTAAACTTTTACAAAGTTTATACTTTAGTCTTTGAACTTTCAAAACTTAAATTTTAGTCACTAGTCAAAAGAGCAAATAGCCTTCCAACTAACTCTCGCCCCTTAACAGGCTTCTCTTCCCCCTTAAAAAAAATCGGGAACAGAGCTGATTGATCATCTTAATTACTACCCTAGGCAAACACAACGACCTAGGACATTAATTTTACACATTGTAAATGACAAACTAAATGAGCTGTAATCTATCTACGCAGGATAACATCCTAGCCTTCCAACTTTAAAGCTTAGCTGTAATCTTATCAATAAGCGGCGTACAGTCACGAATAGAGAGCCTATTCAAGACAAGAGGAATACCCAAATACTTCACAGAAAGGCATCCCCTCTTAACACCCATGGAATCAAGGATATCCTCAAGACCTCCACTACTCACACCTGTAGAGAAGATCTCAGACTTATCTAAATTCAACTTAAGCCACGATAAACCATAAAAGACTTTCATAACTCTCCAAACCCCTAGCACATACCCTTAGTAAACACTAACAAGTTATCCGCAAAACAAAAGTTCATCAAATGAATCCTATGGCATTTCGGATGGTAGGAAAAACACCCAACTCAACCGCCCTATCAAGAAGCTGAGATAAAACATTCATAGACAGAATGAACAAATAGGGGGAGAGGGGATCCCCCTGCCTCACTCCTTTATACCCTTGAAAGAACCCTGCAAGCCTCCATTCAAGGAAACAGAGGATCTAGGAGTGGTAATACACTCTTTATTCCAACCAATCATAACAAGAGGCATCCCCAAAGCATCCAATATCCTCAAAATAAAATTTGAATCAATAGAATCAAAAGCCTTATGCAAATCAATTTTCAAAGAACAACGTGGATAAAGAGAACGTCTTCTATAACCACATAACAACTCTTGCACCATGAGGGTGTTGTCAACAATGGACCTTCCCGGGATGAAAGCACTTTGACTACTAGATATAATTGCATAAGGTACGGTTAATGTCGCCCAACAATAATGCGCATAATACATTTATAAACCACCGAACAATATAAGATAGGAAGAAAGTCTCTAATATGATTATGATTCACTACCTTTGGAACAAGGACTAAACTCGTAGTATTAAAAGCATAGATCATCCTCGAATGAGCAAAGAACCATAGAAATGCTTCCACCAAATCATCCCCCACACCTCCCAAGTAGACTTGAAAAATAGAGAAATAAAGCCATTAGGGGGCAAACATAGAGGATTTGATCTCCACCCTTGTCACATCCCTCTGCAAAGCCAAAAAATTTTCATTTAAGAAAGATAAATAAATGAGCTCCCTTAGAAACTCCACCGAACACCCCGAAGCAGCCGGATCCTTGACACCAAGGAGGCCCTCAAAGAACAGAATAGCCTCAACTGCAATAAGATCATAACTCTCAAGGGTCTTCCCATGATCATCCTTAATATTCCTAATACCCTTCATTCTTTGCTTAATGAAGACCATTGAGTGAAAAACTTAGTATTAAGATCCCCATATTGAATCCAACGCACCCTAGATTTTTTTAGAAAAAACTTTCCTTAACAGGTTACAAATCATGCAACTCAGCACTCAAAACTACATCTCTAGTCAGAAGATCATTAGTAGAAGCACCAAACATAATACGGAACTGCACCTCCTCAAGTTCTGTGCACTTATTCTTAACCCTAGTGAAAGTACATAACGTTTGAGATGAAAGGATGAATCCTTTGGCTTGGTGATGGTTCGACTACCTCTTCAAAGGGGTCATGATGTTTCGGCAATGATGGGGAAACATCTCCCTTGGTCGAATGGTATATGCTTGTTTATCTTGGCGCCAAAGACATCTTCCTTGGTCGAATGATGATGTGCCTCCTCAAATTGGCGTCAAATCTCTCATGTGCAAGGCACGTAGGTGTGACCGAATAGGCATAGAGCTTTGTCTCATATCCCTTGGTGATTTAGGCCTCTAATGGTTGTAATTTCTTCACCAACGTGCTCATGGGTGAAAGGGCATCTTAATGGGAACATCATTCATGAAAAGTAACAATGTTTGGAAAGGTAACCTTTCATGTTTGAGCTAGTTCTAAGGTGAATGAGCTGGAGGTGAGCTGGTCATAGGTGAGTTGTAGCATGGTGAATATTATGGAAGCTCCTTGTGAAAAGGTACCTCTTGAGGTGGAAACTATTCGCAAAAAGGTACGATTTCACAAAATTTAACTTAGGACATATTTGAAGTGTCCTAAGTGGCGATGATGATGGTGCAGCTCCCCAGCTGAATTGGAGTCATCTTGTAGCTCAAATCTTCAGTTCAATCCAGCTATGAGCTCACGAGTCTCCGGATAACTTTTCACCAATTGTTCCTTATGCTCTCCTAAACGTCCCCATGTAAGTTTCCTTGCATTTGCTTTCTCCAATTAGCTCCAATATATCTCCCAAGTTGTGGCCAAATGTACCTACATACATAACATAAAGAATAAGTTAAGTACATGAATTGTAATAATGTGTATAAGATAAGGATGTGGACTATAGTATATAATAATAACTTTTATCTCACATAGTGATGAATAAGTTATCATCATAATAACTATAGATGTAATATATGTATATGAATATAACTATATTATAGCATATGAAATTAGCATCATTATGTATAAAGATAAAAAGTTTCTTCCCTTGAAAGGTTGGAATAGCCAAGTTAAACACGATGCTGAATTGGATCACATCAAGCAAGTCGAAAGGCATGGGAAAAGTACAAGAATAATCGGATTTTAATAGTAAGGCATAATAGCGAGGCATACCAAGTGAGTACATTTACTATGTACTTATATGATATGAGGATGACTTGCGATGAGTCAACCTAGAGTATTTTTATTGAACATGTTTTGAACATTTTTAAATATTTTCATAAATTTATATGAAAATGGTTTTTATTGAATGATTTTAGGGTATGAACTGCCCTAAAACAAATGGATGTATTTTATACTATTAAACATTTTGTTGGTATTTGGAATAAATGTTTAATCTATGATTTGGATTCAATAGCCTATTGTATGTACATTGAGAGTCATAGGTGCAATTGACATACTTGGAGTATGATGGTTATCGATCGATTTTGTTTAATGCATTATTGCGTTATTGGACCAGTAATTTGTGTACTAGGAGTAGTACTTTGTGTACTATGGCACTATGTGTGCATGGATGATGTTCATAATGAGTTTTTGAATTACCATATCGAGATGTTAGTATAGTGTCGCTTCATACCACAATACCTATATGTCATTGTGGCACTTATGTTCTTATTGGGTACCTTGCATTCTCATTTGTCATACATTGGGCTTGAATGGGTTTTCTAATATATTGATTAATAAGTATGCTACATATACAAGATTAATATTTCGTAGGTTATTTGACGGAAACTTGGTTTATCAAGTCAGCTTTATGCGTTTATATATTTTATACAGTTTTAAATTGTATTTTGACCTTTATCGATATACTTATGTTTCAAATGCCTTAGTTACTTTACTATGCCTCACTAAGTGAATACTTAGCGTGTGATTGTTTCACGCGTAGGTTTTAGCGTACAATCACAGTGAGGAGTGCAGCTAATATCATTTGTCAAGGGTTGCCTCATCAGTAATAGTATGACATCTGTAGATGTTTATTTGATATTTACTAGTTGGCATGTACTTTGATATGTTATGATGCTCTGATAGGATATTTGATATCTGGTATGTAGTATTATATTATGTTTGAAATTAAACTACTATATCATAATTATAATGCTATTTTATACGGTAATAGTAAATGACATTTTAAATATTATATTATTAAGTAGTATTATTTAAAGAAACATAATTTTACTGATTTTCAATTGCGAAAATTGTTTTAAAAACATGTGACATCTATGACTCATGTCCGGAGACGGATACGGGAAATGAGTGTTACATCCCCTCACAAATCTTATCACCATGCTTAAACTAATTCTTTTGGAGTGCATTTCAGTGGCGGACAATTTGTTGTGAAGAAAACCTTTTGTAGGGACAAGCACAAAGTTTGCCTCTACAATCATGTCCTCATTCTACATTGTGTCGGTACAAGTATGAGGAGTTTTATTATGATGTGATAAATGAGATTTCTCAAGTAAAATTTATCGAGTAATAATTTGATTTAATAGAATAAAATATTATATTATTTAATGTCTAAATCATAACATTTAAGAGTAAGTTGGATTAAAAATATGGGTAAACTCTTAAAGGATCTATAGATCAATCATGTGATGATTATATTGACATTCTATGCGGTATTACCGTTATTTTCTTTTGTTATATTTATGTGTATTAAATAAACTAAAAGATAATATTGTCCATATAATAATATGATTATTATTGAAAGGTCCTTAGTCGAGTATTATTATGGGCATGAACAATAATAATATGTTTAAAGTTAACATGTTGTTGATTGATGATAATGCGTTGTTATTGACATATAGATGTCAGAATCAATACATAAATATGTTGTTAGAGAATAATGTATTGGATTGACCCGCTATGAGCATATGTCTTGGATTATTATGTAATGATCACAATATTGCTCATGGTGACAACTATATGTATGATCATTAGACTTGAGATCATTACCATCTCAACATATATTGTTGTATGTTTTGATACAATTGAACATGATCCGTAACTGGTTGTACTATAAAGACTGATATTGAACATATCACAATATATCTAGTGGGTGTGAATGATCGAGATATGAGTTGTCCTTCATACATAATAGGAAACATATCACAGGCCACTTGATTGAGTGAGACTAGAAATGCATGGCCATGCTTGAATAAGTTAATATGAGATATCACAAAATTTTCATTTATTATAGTCTACTCTAGATATCAAGAAATAATAAATGAGATATATAAGTATGAATATTCCAAGACTTGTGCCTATTCTAGATATAAAGAAAAAAAAGATATAATACATTAAAAGAGTTAATCACGAAGATGCTATGTTGAATCACCACTTCCTGTAATTTAGGTGACAATGATATATTTCTAGATGTCACTCATTGTTTATAATTTTAGAATGATTCTAATAATTACTACTAATGTTACAGAACCTACAAGGTCACACCCCAGGGTTGGAAAGAGCAATTTATAAATGAGTTATACATGTACAATTTTAATTGTGCGTGTAAAAATCTATAATTAATATATATATGCGGTTGTAATTTTAATTAAACATGGGATGTCGAATTTAATTAAAAGAATAAAATTAGAGTAATTAAATTCTTTTTTATAATTTTTGGAATTAAAACTCTAAGGGTTAGAGCAACACAATATAAAAGGGATGTTATTGGTCTAGCAGCCGCTTAACCCTTTTGAAACAATTTTTCTCAAAACAGTTTTTGAGAAAAAAGAATTGCTCTCAACTGCTTTTCAACAAGGTGAACTGCGTAGAGGCCGACATTTATCGTGGAGGCTTGCGATTCGAACCATTCGTGATTACTCTTACCGTAGCTGCAATTTTACTATTTTTCAAGGAACCCAATGTAAGTAATCGTATCCCTTCCTCCCGATTTCGGTTTTATCGTACATGGATCACTGGTGAGACCGTCGAGTTTGTTTCCGCTGCTTCATGGGGTGCACCAATTATAGAAATGATCTCTCGATTATATAAATATTATTTTATTATTGAGTCTCTCGGCTATTAAAAGTTACAAAAACACCTTCACTTGAATTCTTCAACTATTAAAAGTTATAAATGGTCACTTGACTAATCATATTTTCTAAATTCATCCTTTTATGTTAAAAACTTGACGTTCATCTGAGTTGAACATTAACCTGCTAACTGAGATATGATCCCAAAACTACTTAAACCGAATGGTCGTTTGAGATTCTGAGATAAGATTTTATCATATCTTAGTCAACAGGTTAACGTCCAGCTCAGAATGTCGTCATTTTTTTAACGAGAAAAAATGAGTTTAGAATGTATCAATAGTTGGGTGATTATTTTGTAACTTTCAATAGTCAAGAGACTAAAAAAATAATGTCCTATAGTCGAGAGACCACATTATAACTTTTAACAGTCTAGGGACTTAATAAAACAACGCTGTATAGTCATGAGACCATTTGTGTACTTTAACCTAAAAATATATATGCATTTTATAATTAAATTAAGGCTAAACAACATGTTTAGTACCTAAACTACAAGTTTTGATTCATTTTAGTACCTAAACTTTCGTTTTTTCAAAATCATGTCTAACGTTTAATTTTTGTTTCATTTTAGTACCCTATCATTAAAAATTTAAAGGTCGGGTTAAGGTGAAATAGCTCCGGTAGACAAACGACCAATCCAAATAGTGAATCACAAGAGAATGACGAATCGACCAACATAGTCCAGTTTTAGGCCCAACGAAGGATGGATGGAAATCGAAGGATGAAGAAATCAAAGAATTCATCATCTACTTAAGGAGATCGTTTTCCTATAAAACGGAGACAAAAATCATGTTTAAGCGATGGAAAAGATGTGGGTTGAAAAGTTCGAGCTTCATCGACCAACGAATGTAAAGGTTGACGACTATAGACCTAGTGGCCGACAACCTGTTCATTAAGTTTTTAGTGTTATATTACTAATATAAAACAAAATTAAACATTAAATATGATTTAAAAAAATAAAATAAATCCCACTAAGCCTTAAATAAAAAATTATATCCATTCATTGAAATGTCATTTCATGTAAAAGTCAAAAGAGAGTGACTCCCACTAAGCCTGAATGTATTAATATTATTTTTTGTTTTGAATTAAATAATAGTCGTGTCATCATTATTAATGATGAAAGTTTTCTCCAGAATCGGAAAAATCAAATCCCAATCTGATCTCTATCTGCAAACCAAAGCGATCTACGGAATTGGTTTTATTACATGCAAAAGCAGAATTAATCAAATCCAATTGGTACAAAGTCCTAAGCAGAAGCTCTAATATTTTGAAGATTTGATTTTTATAAACAGATTTGAATTCAATTTTCCCCCATCCTTAGAATCAGATTACCATTTTTCCACACTGGAGTTTATTACCATATATTTAGGATGGTATGGGAAAATTCATAACACAAAGGCGGCATTGGTTTCACAAAGACCACATATTATCTGCCACGGTAATAATCTCCCATTGTTCTGTTCGACAAAGACCAGAATAACTGGAATACAACTAAAATTTTATGTCTCTGGAAGATCATATTCTGAAACTGGAACATTTAGATAAAACCTTCATATGCCATCCTCCTCCCTGCATCAAAAGTATCACTTTCATTTCCAATTATCTAATTGATAAACAGCACTTCTCGAGTTATTATGCTGATTTGGCATGTAAATTTATTTTATTCGGCTTCAAAGAAACACGTTATTTGAAACATAACTTTCCCTACAACCAGTGCTGTAGGTAAATATTGACAAGCATTTGCTATGGGAACATGTCCTAAAGTCCATAAAAGAAGGGCGATGTGGTTAACAACCGTTAGCCATAGCTTCATTGATATCAATAATTCAATCTAAAGGAAACCTAGTTTCAATTGAGAATGAGCAACATAAAACTCAAAAAGATACCTGATGTACTCGCTCAGGAACAACTGCTAATTACTTTCCCAATAGTTTTCACATCAAAGATTTCAATCCAGTAACCATCAGGATCCTTGATGAACGCTATCCATTTCATTTTGCCTGCAACTCATATTGATAGAATAGATAAAAATAAAGAATTTCAACAAGGTAAAATCTGATAGCTGCTCAGAGGATTATTTTTTATATGATTACTCCATGTTTGTAATCTTTGATAGATTAAGTAAAATAATTAAAAAAGGGTGTTTCTTGTGTTTTGGGAGATTTTATTTCTTGGTTGTTGGATGAATGGTTGATTTAACTATTCTTTGTTCATTGTTTCCTGTGATAAGGGTCTTCTATGGTTATACTGCTATATCATTTCTTCTGCCCGCTGTATTGTTTAATTCATATTTGCTTAAAATGAAGGCTAAAATGATGGGATTAGGATACTTCTTGGGAGTATGCCAATTCAGATATGCAGGTCAAGGCAGATGGGATCAGAAGGAGCTTCTCCCTGCTGTAATCAGACTCCAACCCAGGGGTAAAGGTCAGGTAGGCAGTGACAGAGTCCCCCCCCCCCAAATTTTTTATCATTAAAAAATAGGGATAATTACCAATTTAGACCTTTAAATTTTGATTTATTTTGATTTTGTCCCCCATTTTCTATCGTTAATTATACTTTGTCCCCCCTGAACTAAAATCCTGGCTCCGTCCCAGCATGTAGGCATATATAGGATTGTTAGGTATGGCCAACACTAGCTACCTCTCTACTTTTATTTGAAGACATACGACATTTTTAACAAAGAGATATATGCTTTACTGTTTCATTTTTTTTTTACTTTCAAATTTTGCAAGCATTTTCTTATCATTTTAGACCTAAATTATATGTCATTAGCTTACTCACTTTAGATGCCAAGTAGCGGATACTACAGCTAAAACACAAATGCTCTACCCAACCCCAAGATCCAAACCCCCTAAGCTTTGCCGAAGTAACAAGTTCCCGTAACATTTGATTCATTTCCTACAAGATGATTACGATGCAATTTGTCCAGAGGCAGCTGTCAATACCAGCAATCCCATACAAAGCTTAAATGGAAATCAAAATACCCATTCAAGCCTCATATCATTCTTAATTATTTATTCAAATTGAGCTGACTTACCTGCATCTAATTTTTTGACAAACTCTACTCCAAGGCGCTCGAATCTCTCACATGTCTTGACTACATCATCCACAGTGATGCCAATATGACCTGAAACATGAAAAAGAAAAGTTAGCATATCAAAATTCCAATAACTTCTTAAACACAGATTTAAGAACATAAAAGGCAAACAAGATTTTCTTCAATGAATTTGAATGCAGAAGTGAATCCACCCAAAAGCCGCTATTATTTAATCAATTACAGCATAGATGTTAAGATAAGCTTAGTGGGTTAATGGAAACTAAATGGTGAAAATTTAAGCTACATTTACTTGAAGTAAAAATTATAACTTACAAAACAATGGGATAAACAAACACCAAACTAAGTCTTTCCCACTATGTAGGGCTGACAGATCATATTAAGTCCATGTGTGAATAAATTCAGTATATACTAGCCAATAAAAATCACTATCGCAATGAAAACAACACAGGATGGACACCTTGATGAATATTAGTACCAGCGGTAAATAAACGCAATCCAGTGTTTAATAAGGCTCAACATATGAATGGGATATGTCATCAATTTATCTCATTCTCAGATTTATGAACCACAAAATGAAAGAAATCACAAAAGGGGGCAAATCAATTCAATAACAAAGCCACGAGGTTCTGAATTCCCATTGTGATATCCTTTGAATTCTGGATCACTTTCAGTACCCCAATTACTGTAGGAAACATTAAACTGTTAAACATGATAGGGAACAAGACTAATGACTTTGTAAACGCAAAAGAAGGATTCAATTTAACAACAACAACAACAATAATTTATTCTTACTGCGTTAGTTCAATAGTAGCTGGTTTTCCAAAGGTCCAAGCTGTCCTATCAACTGGGTCACTTGGGGCTTTTGAAACATCCTACATTAAACAAAATGTCCATCCAGAATCAACATCATTGTGATCAGAAAAATGGCGATACCTCAAACCAAGTACTGCATACAGAGTTGAAACAATAAGGCGCTACAAGTGAAAAGCAAAATACTGATACAAGCTTACTTCTAGCAATGTAGTTTTATGAATTTTACCTCATAGCCCAAAAAGTACAGGGAAAACTTTAATTCCGGAACATCCACCCTCTTAAGCAGCCTGAAGGACAGGAAGTGAGTAATATTAAGCTTTAATAGATTCTATGAGCAATCAAAGCATATATAAAGACTCGATTGGAAAATGCTATAAGCAACTTTTGATTCATTTTGTCGTAACCGTCTTTCGGGTGGGCCCGGAATTGGGCTTCGACTTGGATTAAATGAATTGGAGTCGCCACCGATCATTTATTTTATGAAAAATGGGTTGATCGGGTACCTTATTTCTTACCTGATCTGCGTCTTACCAGAAATGTGTTGGATTCGGGAGTCGGTTACGGTCAAGGAAGGATTAGCACCCTTGAACCGCCCTTTCGGTACCAATTAATTTGTCGGTTGTCTTTATCGCGAAAATTTAAATTAAAATTAAAATTTAAAAGATTCAATTCGAATTAATTACCTTTGATTGATTGAAATTGCCACTGAAAATGTCGAAAAATGTTAGATGGTAAAATAAAAATAAATATGAAAAAAGGAACATATATATATATATATATACATTAATTTAATAATAAAATAAAATAAATGGCAAAGATAAACAAAAGTTAGTAAAAAACAGAAGAATAAAATAATAATAAAATAAATTAAAAATAAAAAATAATAAGAAAATTAGTTTAAAAAAAATAAAAATAAAAAGAAAATAAAAAAAATAACATAAAATATATATAATAAAAAAAATAAAAAAATAAAAAAAAGAAATAATAAAAATTAGAATAATCAGTAAAAAAAAGAAAGAAATTAAAAGAAAAATAAAAAGGTCTAAAAGAAATAAATGAAATATATAACACAAAAATAATATTAATTAAAAATAAATTAAATAAAATTAAATAAGAACAAAGTAAAACATACAGAAAAGACTGAATTGAAATAATAACAAAATAAAGGATGAAATTAAGAAGAAATCGAAGTACAAGACTGATTTAGGGGTCCAAATGAAAATATTTCAAAAGCAGGGGACCAAAACCTAATGATAAATGACTTCAAGTAAACATATGAAATTTCTCCAAACCTGGAAGGACTAAAATAACAATTTGGCCATTCCAAGACCAACGTGTTATACCTTTGGAAAAAGTGACCAGTTCACGTGTTTATGAAAACCAAATTCAATTTGGTTTATTTCTCCTCTCTCTCTCCACAAGATGACAACAGAGAAGTGCTCGCCCCAGCTCCAGTTTTCAAAGGCCGACGATAGAATCACCAGAATGCTCGTCGCCGGTTACTATTCGAGCCGAAAATTCACAGGGAGTTTCGTTTCGACACCGCGGTCACGGATCCGACCTTCTTTTCGCATGGAACAACCTCTAGCTCCACGAAATGGCCGATGAACGTTTCAGCCTTCCCTCTTCGATTCGCTGTCGACCACCGTTAGATCGACTTGGTTCCAAGATATATTGCTCCCCTCAGTTTGGATTCACGAACTGACAATCAGAGCTTCGATTCTGGTGAGACCACGACGGTGAAAGGTAAACCTTTTCTTCTCTTTCTCTCAGTTTTTGTTTTGTTCGACCCCGTCGTGTTTTTCCTCCCCGATTTTTCTGTATTTTTTTGAATCTCTTGCTCGTGGTGCCCGTATTTTCCAGTACCATAATCCATCCTCAGTGAGTTTGATTTATAGTCTAGGATTCTCTATTTTTAGAGTCATGTACGAATTAAAATACTTTTTTTGTTGGTTGTGAACGAATCCTGCTAACACACGTTTGGTTATGTCTGTTGAAACGCTAGGAGGTTGGTTGCGTGGGGCGAGGGAACCGGCGACAGTTTCGGGTTGTTGGAGAAACGACGTTGAAGAGGCTGCGACGCTGACTTGGAACGGAAGAGCTAGGGTTTACACCTTTGGGTGCTTCAGGTAATGAACCGGATCGGGCCTGGACCGGTTCGTGTGGCTCCACTGGTTAGCATTTCTGCTGCCGGGTATTTGATTCTGGTCCAATATGGGCCACTGTTGGACTAGCTTCCTGGGCTTTTGTAATGGACCTGTAAATAAATGAAAAACATTAGTTCAAATAATAATAATTTATAATATGTATATTTGTATGGTCAAAAAAGTGTGTCTACAGCTGCCCCTCTTTGTCCTTTTTCGTGGAATGAAAAATAGGACAAAGATAAAAAGACACAAATTTTCGTTATGTGGAGTTGAAAAATAACTCCCTGTCGAATTGGGTTGCGGATGGCTCCTTCGTCGCGAAGTCGAGTCCATCTCGAAATGATATAGAATTGAAGCCGCAGTTCGGGATTTGAATCGGGATGTGGCTTCTCGCTGTAGTCTGCTTCGGTCTTTTCCTCGGTTTAAAGATCTGGGTTGGAAAATTCGACTTGAAAGTAGTTTCTTGACTCCACCCTGTGGTTGATAGGCCCTCGAGCTGAATAAAATCGAACTCCGAAGGTCTTCGTTGACAAATAGCTTTTCTCGTCTTAAGCTATACTGCCGGAAAAACGGTTTATTGTCACTAAGGCACGGCTAACCCAAGTCTTCTTCTAGATATGAAAACCTTGATTGCAGCCAAACAGTAGTGTGATTGAGGTATCATCGAGCTGAATAGAGTTGAACTCGACAATTTTATTGACAAATAGCCCTTCTTGCCATGAGCTATATTGTAAATGATATCACCTCGAAGTTGAGTGTAATCGAACTCGGGAGTCTTTGGCAGATAGCCCTTCTTGACTTAAGCTATGCTGCAAATGATATGCCTTGGAGCTGAGCGTAGTCGAACTCGAAGGTCTTTGATTGGCAGATAACCCTTCTTGACTTAAGTTATGCTGCAAATGATGCGCCCTCGAAGCTGAGCGTAATCGAACTCGGGGGTCTTTGGCAGATAGCCCATCTCGACTTAAGCTATTCTGCAAATGATGTGCCTTGGAGCTGAGCGTAGTCGAACTCAAAGGTCTTTGCTAACAGATAACCCTTCTAGCCTTGAGTTATGCTGTAAATGTTATGCCCTTGAAGTTGAGTGTAATCGAACTTAAGGGTCTTTGGCAGATAGCTCTTCTCGACTTAAGCTATGCTGCAAATGATATGCCTTAGAGCTGAGCGTAGTCGAACTCGAAGGTCTTTGATTGGCAGATAACCCTTCTTGACTTAAGTTATGCTGCAAATGATACGCCCTCGAAGCTGAGCGTAATCGAACTCGGGGGTCTTTGGCAGATAGCCCTTCTCGACTTAAGCTATACTGCAAATGATGTGCCTTGGAGCTGAGCGTAGTCGAACTCAAAGGTCTTTTCTAACAGATAACCCTTCTAGCCTTGAGTTATGCTGTAAATGTTATGCCCTTGAAGCTGAGTGTAATCGAACTTAAGGGTCTTTGGCAGATAGCCCTTCTCGACTTAAGCTATTCTGCAAATGATGTGCCTTGGAGCTGAGCGTAGTCGAACTCGAAGGTCTTGGTGGCAGGTAGCCCTTCTGGCCTTGAGCTAAGCTGCAAATAGTTTGTTTAAAAATGGCTTCCCTTTACGGGTCGAAAACGGTCATTATTCTTCTGGTGGTTCCCCTAAGCTGGTCTGGGAAAACCTACTGATAAATTCTGACAGCCGGATATCTTCCGTCGTGGAATTGAAATCTGGCTTGAAAGTGTTAACTGGAAACATGTTGCTCATTGTTGAGTTGAGCTGAACTGAATTTGATCTGAATTGGTTCTCGAACCCATCTGAAATTGGTTCTGAGATCTGTAAAGTCGGTTGAGGTGTAGCTTCTTGCTGCTGATTTACACCATCGTTCTTTAAAGGTGTTTGCAAGTCGAGTAACCTTCATCCTGAAGTCGAAGCTTGACTCTGAAAGCTGCAAAATTATGTATGCTAAAATGATGAATGTGATGCACCTAAGTATGTCTAAGATGCATGCAACATGAATAAATTATGTGTTATTTCTTGGATGGAGTCTCGTGCTTTGCCTGCCAATCTGGTCCATGGAATCGATCGTGCCCCATTTGCTTCTTGAGCTTGGGCTTTACAGACATTTCATATCTGAGATTGTTCTGTTTGAAAATGTTTTTCTCCTTTTTCTTGTTTCAGGAGAGAGAAATGATAAAAATGTTGTAAAGTATTGTTCGCAATTGAATCAAATTGTAAACGTGAGTTCAAAAAAATATCAAAGGAATCAAGAGCTCTTTTAATGCTTTCAGAGTTACAAATCTTTGACAAATGTTCAAAGGGACGAGTCGGCTTTAAGTTGGCCTCCTTTCTAAGGTTTTTTGGTAAAAAATGTCATTTTTTAAATATCGCAACATGCTTTGGCACTTTAATTGGGTGCAGACAAAATGACGCAACTAGCATGATCAATTACTAGACCTTTTATCTCAGTCCTCTGAAATCTTTCATTTGTTCAAGCTTTGTAGGCTCTTCCAACAAAGACAGTGCAAAAAAAAAAAAAAATATCGGTCTAAAAATGAAATTCTTGAGTGCTCGTGTGTAGTTGACTATAACAGGTGTTCCTTAACTCCCTTAGTCTATTTTACCGAAACTTCATGCTTAGATAAATTCGATTTAATTTGCCGTTATCTGGCTAGCTGAATCCATAAAGCCAGGGCGTTTAACCAATTGCTTTAGAGGGACAACTTACCATTATAATCACTCTTATCAAGTTAACTGAAGGGTTCATCTCATCACAGAGTCTTCAGCCTGACAAGAGCAGTGGAGCAAACACCGAATTGCCAAGTGTCCGAGAAATGTCATGGTTTGAATGTAATCTACTCATAAGGCCAGGGCTTTCAAGTTTCCTCTATAACCAATTGCCTTAGCGGAATAGGTCAGTTTTTACGGATTTAATTTCCTAAGATTGTCAAGAAGAACCTGTTATAGCCTAGGTGTTTTTGAAAGTCAAGGAATCTCATCTTTAGAGTTTAATTTTCAAGCAACTGACCTAAACTGGATTCACCTACTCGACTCTTTCATTTGTAAAGATCATCATCGTCATTGAACGTCTTAAATAAAAAACATAGTAATTGTCATATGCAAATGATGCCCCATGTTGTCCGTACCTTATGAAAGGAAAATTGGTTAATTCCAAGAACG